TTTTAATCAAAAGTTATGAAAATGTCGCACTCGGTGTTAATAGGGTTATAGTAAAGTCATAGAAAATATATTGTGAAATAATGGAGGTAGATACATTTCATAGTAGCATGCTCACCTCAGCCTCATTTAGTGGGCCACGTGGAGAGAGCCAGGGAGAGGTCTATTGCTAACCAAGGCTTATATCTCTTTAGGGGGCGTGATTACAGGTAACCACACATGTCACAGGAAGGGGCTGTATAATAGGCAATACAAGCAATAGGAAGGGCATATACCATGGGCATAAGCGTAACAGGGTCCTGAGCCAGAAGGCAACAATGTCTGAAAGTCTTCTTGGACTACCAAAGGGTCAGGCAACAGAGGTCACAAAAGGGAGGCTGTGATGGAGATCTGGTTTCTACCTTTCAGCTGGCCGTTATCCCCAGGGAAAACCAAGGATGGTGGCTTTAGTCACACCCTCCAGCATGGTAGCGTCTAAGATACATCCCCTCTGTAATGAGAACACCCTCCCAAACAGGACCCTCACAAGTAGACAACACATCACAAAATGGATTATGGCCAGATTAAGTAACGGATTACATCTCAGTCGGCCAATGTTGTTTTTTGGTCACACCTAATATTTTTTAAAGATTTTGTCATTATCTCAGGCCCCTTCATTCTGTACTATAGAAATCAAGATGAATTTTGCAAAAGAAAAAACATTCCAGATCTCTTTAAATGGACATTAGTTGGAGGGTGAGCTTCAAATAAAACAGCTATTTGGGAACTTATTTCTAAGTTGTACTTGTTAAATCGGTATATTATTTGAAAATATAAGCAACAAAAGCAGTCTCAGACGTTGGCCATCCTAGCCTCTGACCACCCCCACGTTTTGCGAATGTGAAGCAGCAAATACACCACTAGATGGAGTAGCAGGAACAAAGGATCTCTCTGTAGTTCTAAGAGCCCTGTCGTCTCCAAAGGGGATCTTAAACAGCTAGCAGAGTAAAGGCGGTTTAGTGGCGCTAGGCTGCTTCCTACACGTCTACACAAGTCTGGGAAACGCATAATGAGGACTCCATTCTTAACTCATCCTGTCTTCTTCCCACAAATCATGTTTGTTTGTTTGCTTGCTTTTCCTAAAGAAACATTAACTAGCAACCAGGGTAACAACAGATTTTCATATTTCTTAATTGGAACAAGGCCAAGAACTGTACTTTAGAAAACAGGTTAAGGCGCTACAGCAGTGCATTTTTCAGTTCACAGACAGTCCTCCAGGCTGGCCTTTCCATCATCACGATTCTGGTTCTCTTATCAACTTGATGGCTTGTCTTTATACCCAAGTAAGCTCCTTCCTGCAACTGGCCTTGAATAATTGTCCTGAGGCAGTGAAGGCATTGGCTAGAAATGTATATACACTTAAACCTAGAGTTAAACTTTGGGGACAAGAATGACCTACTCGTTGCTTTATTTAAACTAGTTTTCCACCTGCATAAATTCTTTACAGAAAAGGAATCGGATCCAAATGTTAGTGAGGATAGTAGATATATTGCTCTATAAAGCCTCACCATTAAGTTTTTCATTACTTAACACTTCTTAAACTCAACTTAAACCCAGTGCCATTAAGTCAATTCTGGCTCGCGGTGACCCTATGGTACGAATTAGAATGGTCCCTTTGGGTTTTGGAGACTCTAAATCTTTACCTGAACAGAGTAACTCATCTTTATCCAGAGGTGCAGGTGGCTGATTGGAACTGCTAACCTTGTGGAACTGGTTAACACATAGGCCATTAAAAGAGGCAAATACGGTGAAAAGCTGTCATTATAAACAACACAAACCAACCTTGTGTAGAGGACATCAAGCCTATGAATGCTCTCACTTCACTGAGCTAGTAGAGTTCTGCTTTGAGGCAAGAGAGGTACAAAATGTGCAGAGAACGAACTACCTTGTGATGTAACTAAACCACTGCCAGGTTCCATAAAACCTGCACCTGGACCAGCCAGCCAAATTTGACTCACAGTTGTGGGGTTAAGTGTAAGAGGGAACCCCACAAAACATCACAGGTTTGGTAGGCGCAATTGTACAGCGATAATAAGTAGAGATTATAGTAAAGTCATAGAGAGCATGAGAGCTAAAAGATAGAGTCAAGTAATGGAGTCAGACGCAACTCATGGTAGCATATCTCACCTCCGCCCGGCTTGATGGTCCTCGTGGAGGGGGCTTAGCTGTCAGAGAAGAAGCCGCTGCTTCATCCTCCTTAGTCACCTTCTGGCACCCCTCTGGCCAGCTACTCTCCGGCCAGCCACCCTCCTGAGTACCAGGGAGCCTCGATATTTATTGCTAACCACGCATCATAGAGTTATACATCACATAAAGGGCTATACAATTCATTCTAGAACAAGTTTGATCACTCTAATGTCTCACATAATAAAACAGACAATTACTATTCTGGGAGGC